TGCCAACACTTAATACACATTGATTTTATTCCCCAAAACAACCTCATAGGTAGGTGTTTTTGATTTCTGTTTTGTGGAAGAACAAGCATGGGGCAGAGAGAACAGGTGACTAGTCCGGGGTCTCCTAGCAGAGACAGGGCTGGGTGTGAAGCCCAGGTTGCTCCGACTCCAAGGCCCACCCCTTTCCATGGTATCACAGCATCCCTTAAATGGCCCCTCTTCAGGGGGTGCTCCTAGGGGTGGGCACAGCAGACGTGCAGACAGAACACTCCACACAAGAGTGAAAGTGCCCAAGAGAGACAGACACAGGTGCAAGGGCGACCCAGATGAGAGGGTGACAGTGATTAGCCATCATGGGGACAGGGAAGGTCTCCAGAAGATGTGACTGCTGAGGGGATCCTCGGAAAAGGATGTCCTAGGCAGGCAACAGTGGCAGGGTGTTCTGGGCACAAGGAACAGCACGAGCAGGGCCCAGAGGCCAGGCCGTGGGGGTATGTGGGATGGAGGACGAGTGCCTTTTCCAGGGCAGCAGCCAAGAGAGATGGGGGGAGCCTCCAGATGCCACAGGGACTGTGGGAGGAGGCTCTGCATGGAAGATGAGAATTTGGACTGGATCCTGCTGGCCGGGGCAAGACAGCACAGGTTTGTGTGCAGAAGAGCGGCCCGGTCGTCCTCCTGGGGATTAGCCTGGGGATACTGAGCCCAGCAGGGAGAGCCTGAGGCCTGAAGTAAGGCAGGCCTGGACTCAGGCAGAGAGGAGCACATGGACTCTAGACGCTGAAGGGGCTTAGTCACTAGATCAGACAAATCAGACACGGAAGGCAGTGTCTGGGTTATGTGACCACAGGCATCTAGTTTAGGGGACTTTGTGATTGTTGTCAGGTGCCCCCAAAACCTGAGTCAAGGTTTTGAGGATGGGAAGTTTATTTGAGAGGTGACTCGAGGAAGCACCACTTGCCCAGCTGGGAAATGAGACAGGGAAGCGGAGGGTGCAATTGAGGAAGCGTCACTTCCCCAGCTGGGAAGTGGGACAGGGAAGCGGAGGAGGCATTGAGGTTCATCAGTGAGCAGGTGTCAGCTGTGGGCAACTGGGACCCCACCCCCCCAGTCACCTCTGGGGCACAGCGTAGAGCTCACTCAGTTGTCTGCGAGGAAGCTAGGTATACCTCTGTTAACATCAGCTTTGTCATTAAGTGAGGCCTGCTCCTGGGGGTGTTAACTGCTGAGGGCTGAGCACACACCTGTGCCCAGGGAAAGCCGCAGACAGAGAGGCACAGGTGCCGGGCATAGGAAGCTGTCCATGTGCAGGAGAGACTTGGGTGGCATGCAGCACCTGCTACAGGGACACAAGGAACACGTGTCGCAAATTAAAGCACCAGCTTCTCTCTTTGTTCCTTGTTGGTCATAAGATAATGAGGCTGGACCAGAGGATGGGACAATCTGGGTTGGTTTTTTTTTTAAATCACCATATGCCCAGCTCCCAAGGCCCATGCCTGGCACCTTTGGGGCGCTCAGAACTATTGGTCTTGCCATCCCCTGTGACCTGTGGGCAGGAACTTCATCCCCGTGCAAACACTCAAGGCCCTCCTTGGCTTGCTCCTCCCTTATCATCCAGCCAGGAAAGCATCAGAGAAGGCTTCCTGGAGGTGTCTGAGATAAGGTTCAAAGAACGAAGCGAGTAGCCAGGTGCAGAAAGGTCAAAAGAACATTCCAGATTGAGGAAAGAGCCAGAGGTGCAGATGAATGTGTCAGGTTTCCGCCCCAGCTGAGGCCCGAGGAGGTTGGGTGGATGGACAGGTAGCTGATAAAACACCTGGGGGGCTGTAAGCAGGTGAATATGGTTTGACTCAGCAGCTCTCTCATCAGCAGCTCTCTCATCAGCAGCTCTCAGACACCGTCCATTCTGTCTCGGCTGCTCGAGCCGGCCACTCCCACGCTCAGCTGCACAGCCAGCTCTCTCTCGCCTTCAGGGTCAGCAACTTAACTCTTTCTCTCTCTGGGCACGAGCGCGAACTGTGCCATGCCGTGCCGTGCTGAACCCTGCCCTGGCTCCCCTCTGTCCATCTGCAAGATGGGCGGCTGTGGTTATCTCGCTCTTTCTCTGGGCACCAGCAGCTGCACAAGAGTCATGTGGAGCCATGCCCAAGAGCCCTTTTCCGTTTTCGGCGGGGCGTTTTTCCTTTCCCAACGGTTGTTGGTTCCAGGCCAGTTTTGACTTTCGGGAACCGGTTTTTATCACGTGTGGTGTGTGCCTGTGCGCCTCTACTCTCTGTGTGTTTTTGTGGCGGGTGTTTTTGTCTGGGTCTTTTTTTTGCCCAGCACATCCATGTACCTTACAGAATGTATCTTGCTTTAGCCTAGTGTCAGGAATAGGAGACGACTTTCCATCCTTCTGCTTCCTGCCCGGAGTGGCCCTGCCTTCTCTGGCAGCCTGAAACGCCCCCTCCTTGGTGCCCCCTCAGGACTCCAGCTCAGTCTTCTGTGTTTGCTATTTTCAAAAGAATATCTGTGAGCCCTCAGCCAGAAAGGATACATGTGGAATAGTGAGGACCCCAAGCCCAAATCCCGACAGGCCGTTGTTAGGAGTGACTGAAAATAGTGAGAGAGTCATGGAGGGGTGGGGGGCGGGCTTATTTGGCAGTTAGGGAAATAGAAGGCTGGCCCGCTTGGGCCAGGGTCCTGCAGGGCACTCAAGAGGCAGGGGCTGAAGGGTGTGGGAGGCCCCGGCAGGTAAGTCCTCGGTGCAGGTTTGGGTTCTCCCGGAAGCAGATCTGAGAATGAGTTAGGAGTGCCAAAGTTTCAATGGAGAGTAACACCTGGGAAGTGACAAGGATGGGAGAAGAATTGGGCAGGAGGAGCTATCAGGCCACAGTGCCCCTGGCAAAGTCTCGGCAAGTCCAGGGGAGAGCTCTGGAGAAACTTGTGCATTGCAGGAAATCCCCCACTGGGCAGAAATGGCTGGGCCCTTGGACAGCCTCCTTGCTCCTTCATAGGCTGGGGGTCACTCTGAAACAGTGTCACCCACTTTATGAACATATATACAATAGGAGGGTTGAATTGAAGCTTTAAGACAAGATCAGAATTTTTTTAATTTTAATTTTTAATTTCCAGGATACATGTGCAGGATGGGCAGGTTTTTTACATAGGTAAACGTGCGCCATGGTGGTTTGCTGCACCCGTCAACCCATCACCTATTTTTTCTAATGCTCTCCCTCCCCCTACTCAGCCCCCCAACAGGCTCCGATGTGTGTTGTTCCCCTCCCTGTGACCATGGGATCTCATTGATCGGCTGCCACTTAAGTGAGAACTCATTGATCGGCTGCCACGTAAGTGAGAACACGTGGTGTTCGGTTTTCTGTTCCTGCGTTAGTTTGCTGAACACTGTTCACAGTAGCAAGGACATGGAATCAACCCAAATACCCATCAATGATAGACTGGATAAAGAAAATGTGGTACATATACACCATGGAATACTGTGAATCCATAAAAAGGAATGACATCATGTCCTTTGCAGGGACTTGGATGGAGCTGGAAGATAGGAAATTTTAAGAGAAAGAAGAGAGATTTTTTTTGGTTCAGGAAATTCTGTTAAGGGCCAAACACTGAATTTGTCTGAGAGCTTCCTGGCAGCCATGGTGAAAAGAGAAAAAAAAAAATAGGTTATGAAGTTATCCTTATTTTATAATAGAAAATATGCAGGTCATGAAGGAAAGAAATGGTTTTCTACCCCAAAAGTCTAGAGTTATTTTATCACATGGATGTTGCATTTTGAACTTTGAGGAAATAGTAGAAATATTATACTTAGTGCATGAAACAGAAATGTTGCTCATTCAGCTGCTTTTCTCATTTACCCTTAATAAATGCTGGGGAAAGCATTAAATTATAGTTCATAAAAAAAGACATTCTGAAGCAGTTTTTAGTACCCTGCTGGAAATAACACTCCAAAGCCTTTGGAAGGGTACTTGCTTCTTGGAGAATCTGGAGCAAATTTAATGGCATTTGCTTAAGAAGAGCATTTTCACACACCCTGAGGGGCAGAGCCTGTTTTAGGGATGCTCCCTGCTGTGTCTGGAATGGACTGTCCTCAGGAGCCATCACAATAGCCACCTTTCCCTGCCGAGGAAGAAAGATCAGAGCACTGAGTATAGGCATCTGTGTCCAAAAGTGCCCCATGATCTGATTATTGTGCTTTCAGGGGTCTAATCAGTCAGCCCACCTTCAAGCATACATTCACAGAGGTTTGAACAATTAAGGTCTTCATTAAAAAAAAAAAAAGACAGATTCTCTGAGGCTGGAAGTTTGCAGTGTTCAACATGGAAAAGGCATAAATCACGAGGGTGGGTTTGAGTCTTAGGAAGATTCACTCTTTGGGACTATTTCCACTCAAGCTTTCTTGTATTTCAGAGGGTCACATGGAAAGGGCCTTGCAGTCATTAAGCTCAATCCTTCTTTCCACGATAGTGTGAACTGCAGGGCATCCTGGCCAGGTGACATCCTACCGCTCTCAGGACACCTGTGATGAGGGCGAACTCATGAGCCAGGCAAACAGGAGGCGCTTAGTGAATATTCAGCAAACGAGCTTCAGTGAGGGAAGCTCCAAGCCATGGTTGAATGTATATGATATCATGCAATTATTACAATAGCCATTGGAGGCAGGAAGGATAACAAAAGATGAACAGGGGCACAGCTGCCCAATGCTATAGATGGATTTGAACTCTGGGTGTGCTCTGCCTTGCGTTGGAGACAGTCAAGACACCCCCGTTCTCAACTTTTCTCCCAGCCAGCTGGGTGGTTGGGCAAATCATGGCATCTCGCTGCACCTCTGTTTTTCCATTTTTAAACAAGAGCTTTGGACTCCATAGTTTCAAAGGCCCTTGCCAAGTTCCGCCCCCAGCTAAGGTATGTGGCTGGGAGGTGGTACTCATCCCTGTAGGGCCCAGCATTAGACACGATGGACACTCTAATCCCTGCTGAAAGTCCACGTGTGCCTCTGTTTGCAGCCTTCCAGACGTTTTTGGGTAAGGCAGATGTTTCCCGAGAGGTAGAGAAGGTCCTGGCTGAGAGCCGCGAACATCTGCCTGGTGTCTGTGCTGGAGCTGCTGAGAGCTCGCTACGTCCGCTGGCAGGTGGTCACCGTGATTGTCACCATGGCCTGCTACCAGCTCTGTGGCCTCAACACGGTGAGTCCTGGGGCCCAGTGGGCATCCTCACATGACTGGAGGGATCAGAGGGCGGGGAGGTTCAGGGCTTGGGCCCCAGATGCCCAGGTTCAAGTCTCAGCTCTGTCATCACCACAAACTCTATGCTGTTAGGCAACCATGTAATTTGACTGATCCTCAGTTTCCTCATCTGTAAAATGGGATCACATAATATGGAAAGACACAATCCATGCAAAGTGTTCAGGTCAGCCGCTGGCCACAGAAATATCCCATAATAAATGCTAGCACTAATTATCCCTAGACATGTCTAAAAGTCATAGTTCTTTAAAAAACGGATATTAGGAAGTCAGAAGTGAGAGACACTGAGATGATTTTAATAAAAGTACTCTTGGCTGGGTTGTCTTCAACTCACAACTTGGGCTTGAAAAAAACCTCAAGGCTTTAAGTAAGAAATGCTCTGGGGCTTGAGCTGCCACAGGCAGGGAAGTCTGAGGAGGTCTCCCCATGAGGTTCCCCAGACGCTTGGACGTTCGCAGCAGTCTCCTCTGCCTTGAGGGCACTCGAAGGTGGAATTCCTGGTTGGAGACTTAGGGAGGCAGAGTATGGATCCTTATTGTTATTGTTGCTTTGGACAAATGGAGTGGGTTGCCTCTAGGGGTAGTGAGCGCCCCATCTATGGAGGTGTGCAAACAGGCTGGCCAACCACTTGGCAGGGGAGTGTAGAGGAGATTCTTGCATAAAGCATCCAAACTGCCTCTGAGGTCACTCATGTCACTTGAGAGGAGACTGGCTGAACCCAGAGGGAGGGAGAAGAGGCAGCCGCCAGCACCCTTCCGAAGAGCCCCAGGTAAGACAGCTTGCATTTATACTAAATAAGTATGAGCCCAGCACCCCCAAAGGTGGGCAGGGAGGGCGTTTGGGGGTGTCTAGGGAAGATGAAGTGAAGGGGAGTCATTCCTGTCCAGAGAAGGAAAAACAGCAGCATAGAAAGCTGCAACCACAGTGTTCCACCTCCTTTCCACAACTGTTGGTTCTATTTTCGGAAACACTAGGATGAAATGAGATCACCTTGCTTTTTGCTTTTACCTTTCTCCTTGGTCTGGTTAAAGTCAGCAGGTTGAGCAGGTGCCTGGGTCAGTGGCTCTACCTACATTAACCAAGTGATCCTGGGAGAGTCCTGCTGTCTCTTCCTGTTGATGAGACCGAGGTTGTGCCAGACAGTCTCGAGGAGGCGCTCCTTGTTCTCGGAGAGTAGAGAGGGGAAATGAATCATTTCTTAAAGCTAACGCCTGAAGTCTTAAAGACTGAATATGGAACCTGTAGTGAATGAGGCATTTACATTGAGAACCATGACAGTTCTAAACAGAATTCACTTCTCCACAGGAACATCATTTTCCTATTTGCATCCCCCGTATAACTTCATAAATTCCACTGTGGTGTACCTGCAAGGCGTGCTGCCTAAGCACGTGGTGAAAAAAAAATCTCAGCTACTCCCAAAGCCAGGCCCCAGCCTCAGAGCGTTCTCCCCTCCTGTGTTGATGATCTTCAATGTTGAAGTCGGGAATAATACTTGCAGCTGAGCGTGCTTTACCTGACCCAGAGCAGAGCTCTGGACCAAGAGTCAGAGGCCTGGCTTCCCATCTCAGTGGGGCACAAACCTGCAGTGAGAAACCCAGGCCAGCTGCTCCCCTTCGCTTGGCCTCCACCGACTGGGTTGCAAGGCTAATCAAGTGCACATACATGTAGCACTCAGCGTGGGCCAGGAGCTGTCCCCATGGCAGCCCTGAGAGTTAGGCCCCACTGTTAGGCACAGAGACATTGAGACACTTTTCTAAGGTCAAACAGCAAGGAATAGTAGAAAAAGGACTTGAGCCCCAGCTATCTGGCCTCAGGGTCCCCCTCCGAGCACCCCCGTGCATGTCACTCAGGCTGTGTCCCCAGGCCATCCCTAGGCGGCCACAGGGACAAGTCTTCTTCCGTGTTACATACGGAGGGAGACATGCCGGCATTACAGCTGTACTGTGGTCCAGCTCTCCCCTGCACCTGCTGCCTTGTCATCGAGATTCACGGGTCCAAGAGAGCTAACATGGATCCAAAATTTTAGCTTCCTTGGAAGACTTGTTTTGTCTTCTTCACTTTCCCAGACATTATTTGGGGGACATGACCTGTCACTTGAGACATCTGTAAATACTGCCAGGCATCTCTGTGTTTGTCATCTTATTCCAGCCCCAAACGGTCCCACAGGATAGGTGGTATCGCCCCCATTTTCTAGACGAAGAACTTGTGGCTCACAGAGGGTCAGGCCTTGCCCAAGGTCCCAGGGGTGGTGCCTGCACAGACAAAGTCACACCTGCTGGTGCTGGGTGCACTCCCAGTACAGCCCACCCAGGCACTTTGTACCAAACTTGCATTTCTCAACCTCATAAGTATGTACATTTTGAGCTGGAAAATTCATTGTCATAGGGTCTATGCTGTGTGCCTAGGCTATTCGGCAGCCTCGCTGGTCTCTTCCCATTAGGTACCAGTAGCACCGTCTGCCCCACCAGCTGTGACAACCAAAAATGGCTCCGGACACTGCCAGACATCGCAGTGGGAGCAAATTGCCCCCGGCTGAGAACCTCTGTATCAAGCCAACATCACAGATGCTCAGTGTATTTATGCTAAGGAACCGATGAATGGTTTTCACGTACTTTGGAAGTCACTCAAAAGTTGACCGGGTGCAGTGGCTCACGCCTGTAATCCCAGCACTTTGGGAGGCTGAGGCAGGCGGATCACTTGAGGTCAGGAGTTCGAGATCACCCTGGCCAACATGGTGAAACCTACTAAATACAAAAATTAGCCAAGCATGGTGGCGGGCACCTGTAGACCCAGCTACTCTGGAGGCTGAGGCAGGAGAATCACTAGAACCTGGGAGGCAGAGGCTGCAGTGAGCCAAGATCACACCACTACACCCCAGCCTGGGCAACAGAGCAAGACTCTATCACAAAAAAAAAAAAAAGGAAAAAGGAAATTATTCAGAAGTTGGAATAAACAACATTTATTTATTTATTTCTAAATTCCTTTTTGGTGTTGGATTGTTGTTTTTTTTCCCCTGCCTCACACAATAAGCTTTCAAATTCCCTTCTCTAAAATTAGACCTGTCGCTTAAAGTGACTTATTTTAGGCAGCTGCCTTCCTTTCGAGCAGTTTGTCCTCGGCATGAAAACCAGGCTTCAGTGTGAGTGTCAGTCTGTTGCCAGTATGAAGGAGGCTCCTGGCTTTAGGCCCACCCCGCTGTCCGCATTGCTGGGGTGGCCACAGCAGCTCCTACCCCTCCACTGTGCTCCCCTCACCTGGAGAGAGCTATTAGTGGGTCTCCATCTTTGAAGATGGAGGCTGCATCTTATCAACCCTGTGTCTCCAGCACCAGAGCAGCCCATGCCACGTGGTGGGCACCTGAGTGTCTAGGGGAGAAAAGGAGGCGAGGGCAGGAGATAGGGAGGTCTTGGGCTAAAAATTGGATCAATATCAATTGTCAAGCCCAGTGTGGGGAAGCCTTCATTTTCTTGAACCTTCCTGAATCTTCCAGAATGCCTAGGGTCATGGCGTGGTTCTCTTATCTACTTGGGATGACCTTTCCTTGGGGTTCCTTCTTTCTTAAACACAGAAGCCAATCATAGTCACTTCCCTGGGCCTCAGTCTCCCATCATGAAAAATGGGGATGATAATACTCAGTTTGCACAACTGATATGAGGAATCTGTGGAATTATGTGAAATATCTCACAGGTGGCAACTGCTCAGCTTGCATGAATCTCCTCCCAACCTTACTGTCATCAGCACGACTGTTTCTAGCATTGTTTTCTCCTCTCTCAATGTCATGCAGTTTCAAAATCTGCTGCTTCCTGATATGCAGTCTTGGTTGGGAAACAAGACACCCAAGTGTGTTAGAAATCGATGTAAAATAAGAGCAAAGAGGATCAGAGTGCCCGCCGTGAATGAGCCCATATGGGCCTGGTGACATTGGTTCTGGGTGCTCACTGGCGGTGGATGGCTGCCTGGGATTTTGCACTTGGTGGGATGCCCACGCATTACAGGGTTCCTGGTGTGTTCCTCTAACCACTTACTTGCGAAACTGTTGTGTACTCCTCCCTTCCTTGCCAGACTAAGAGGTCTTCTAAGGCAGACGAGGACCTGTGTTGTCTGCTGTCACCTTAGTGCCTAAGAGAGTCCCAGATTTCTTACCCTTTCTCTAAACAGTTGAGTAGAAGGGAGGGAAAGGAGGTGACTGGGAGGGACGAGGGGAAGGAGACATGAAACCTTAGATGCATTTATAGAAAACTGTGGTACTTTCCCCCTCTTTTGGCCTGGAACCACATGAAGGTCCATCTGATTTGTTGAACCATCATTAGGAGTTCTGGAGCCTAAATCAGGTTTTGTACAAAATCTCAAATTACAATTTCAGAAGCAGTTATTAATAACTTTTGTTTTGAAAAGATTCTCCTGAAATCACTTCCTAGATCAAATTGAAAGAATCTAAAACGTTCTGTAATCATAGTAGCGGAGACCATCTCACTGCAGCAATTGGCTGTGTCCTGATGGATAGGGAGAAAGCTGAGAAGAGACCCTCCATGTGGCCACCCTAAACTGTGGTCAAGAGTGCCAGGCTTGGAGTCATCTGCCTGCATGCAACTTGAAACACTGAACTGTTGAGGTATGGGACCTTGGACAAGTTGTCATGATTGCCCCGTGCCTCAGTTTCCCCAGCTGTAAAGTGGTGGTGAAGATAGATGAAAGGATGCATTTAAAGTTCAGTGGCTGGGCGTGGTGGCTCACATCTGTAATCTCAGCACTTTGGGAGGCTGGGGCAGGCAGATCACCTGAGGTCAGGAGTTCGAGACCAGCCTGACCAACATGGAGAAACCCCATCTCTAGTAAAAATAGAAAATTAGTTGGGTGTGGTGGCGCATGCCTGTAATCCCAGATACTCGGGAGGCTGAGGCAGGAGAATTGCTTGAACCCAGGAGGCGGAGGTTATGGTGAGCGGAGATCGCGCCATTGCATTCCAGCCTGGGCAACAACAGCGAAACTCCATCTCAAACAAACAAACAAACAAATAAATAAATAAATAAAGCAGTTCAGCCCGGGGTCTGCCGCATAGGTGGTGCTCCGTAATCTTAGCTATTATGTTGTTGAAGGAGCCCCAGCCTGAGACCACCAGGGAGGCGATGGTTGCAGCACACATCCTCTGACTTCCTAGCTCTGTAGCCCTGGGTGAGACACTTCACCCCTCTGAGCCTCAATCGCTCATGTCAGAGTTCAAAGGAGAGCAGGCCAGAAAGGTGGTATCACTGGGCTAAGGGCTGGGTCAGTGTGAGGTTAGATTTTTATCTGTAAGATGAGAAGCAAGACTGGGTGATCCAACACTCTTTGAAAAGCTTTTAAAAGCAAGCATTTTCTGGCCACTCTTAAAATTTGAGTCCTTACTTTGTATTCTTCTGGATACAAAGGGGGCTCCGGGGCAGGATGCATTCTTAAGTTTCTTGGGTGTTTTCTTATTTTACAGCGACCTCAAACTGTCCAATCAAATAAGCGTCAGTGTGAGCAGAGGTAAAGCTGAAGGCAGTCACATTCCCACTCTATCAGCTGATGCAAGGGGCGGGCAGTGGCTTCGTGGCACAAACAGAATAAGACTGGTAGTGTGTGTGACGTTCAGGCCTGCCCTGGGGGGGACAGGGCCAGCCCGGCAGGACCCCTGCAGCCCCTGGGCTTGGGGAGAGGATTTGTGGGCTGATTTCTGCCTTTTGATGCATGAACGGTTGTAAAAATAAATATGGCTTTTATTGCTGTTTTTATAACTGTCCCTTACTGAACTTAGAATTTTATGCGAATGACCCTCTCCACTAACCTGCAAAGGGACATCTGTAGCAGTGTCTCTATGGGGAGAACTGAAACCAGGGGGTGAGAGGAGCCAGAGGGAGGTGCTGGCCGCAACATAAGAGGACTCACATTAAGTGGGATCTAGGGCTGGGAACCTCAGGAACGTGAGCTGGTCGGGCCACGGGGATCAGAATCACGGCTATGAATAACACAAACGTCAGACACCTTCACATGGGTGACAGCGTGGCAGCCTGAAGGCATTAAGAGGGCCCCTAGAGAACGCTGGCCGTTGAAAATCAGTGAATTTGGCTGATGACTGAGAAAGGCTCTTACACTTCTGGAATCCAACCCTGAAGGTGCACTGGGGATCACAGTTACCCCCTAAAGGGGAGTCGATTGTATAAACATATTCAATGGACACAGGGTTTTCAGGATAATGTTAGCTTCTGTTATAGCCCTGAGAACTGTAGGAATTGGTGGATTTATTAGACGCTACTTCTGTACACCATGGATGTGACAGCAAAGGTTCAGGCTTTAAGCACCCCATTTACTTTTGTCTAGAACAAGGTGATACTGACGAAGAGTATGGGTTTAACCTATGCTTTCTGGAGTCTAACGCTCACTCAAATGAGAGACAGGTGCAGAACAGAAAGGTTCTTGTTTACACGAATATTAAAACCTGTTTTTGCCAATAGATGTATGCCTGCCTGCAAGCTCGAAGAAATGGGTGTCGTAGTTTTCACTGGCATCTCTCGGTTTGCCCATAACTTTATGGAGGTTTACTTTCTTCACAAAATTTAACCATCTGTAGATATAAGTAGGTCCTAAATCTTCCCGCCAATGCATGAATAATTTTTGCTAAAAACATCTGGTAATAAGACAGATCTATAGAAACAAGAGCATCCAGAAACAAAGAGCAAAACGCAAGAGTGTGGCCAGCTAATGTTGGACCTGACAGGATATGAACGATGTGCTCTAACATTTCTGCTGAATAGGGATCAAACTATTCTTAAATGTTCATACGGTCCTTTAAGGCAGGGGGTTTCCCCATCGGAATTCATCAATTAGGACAATGGATTTTCTATGGTTCAGCAAACTCAATTTTAAAGAAATGGCTGGGATGGGGAGAACCCAGACATCATTTGCGTCCAGGTTAAAAACCTCAAAGTGAATACTGAAGAGTGACCATTCTCACCCAGTTCCTGACACCTCACGGGACAGGCAAAATAAGCGTGGTCATGTTCGTTTGACTGGGGAGGAGTAGGAATCTCCGCAGGGCAGAGCGAATTGCCTGAGGTCACGCAGCTAGTTCAAGATGGAGCCAGGTCTCCAAACTCCTAATCAGTGCTTGTCTGATGCCATGAGAGTCAATGAGGATTTAGGTCTAACCTCATGTGGCAGAAACCCCAAAAGAGACCTCAACAAGATGGACAGTTTTCTGTCTCACATGAAGTAAGTTGCGAGGGCTGGTATAGCAACTCTAAGACCACACATACTGGTTTTCCCAGGACGCACTCAATATATGTGTGTTGTCCCAGCATAATTATCAACACTCTCAAAAGTGTTCATGTTTGGATAACAAATTACAGAACCACTGTAGTCAGTGAGGGCACAGGCTAACTCTAACTTCCTGGTCCAGCATCCGAATAAGCAGCTTTCATCCCAAGGCAGGGGCTCTAGGTATAGTTAAACAGGTTGTGCATTACCCAACTCTGGGGAATATCTTTCACCTTGTACGCATTGTAGATTTACTATGGCAATTTTTCAGTGGATGACAGTAAACCATTTTGTGTAGTGGAGGCCTTTTCTGGTTCTCATAAAGTTACCATGGAGGTTAATGGCCGTGCTGTTCTGAAGTCACCTAGTAATCCAAAAAAGGCTGCTGAGGCTCCAGCCATCACCTCCACCATCCTGACACAGAAAGAAGGAAGGGCAAACAAAAATAAAAAACAAAAACAGAAGCACACCTCCTGGATGAAAAGTTCCTTTTTAAAAAAGGGAAACTTCCTGGAAGCTCCACCAACATTACTGTTTCTATCTCACCACCACACTTGGCTGCAAGAAAACTGGGAAGTGTAGTCTTTTAGCTGGGAACTCCCAGTAGTCCAGGAGTTCTTTTAGTAATGAAGAAAGGGAAAAGGTGGGATGAAGGTGAAAAATGAGCATCCACGCCACTCCACCTTGGGACTCTGAGTTTAATCTAAAGACCACCTTATACCCAAATTTGATTTAGAAAATAGATTAAGTCCTTCCACTGACCATTCTCTCTTCTCATTCTTTCCTGCATTACAGATTTGGTTCTATACCAACATCATCTTTGGAAAAGCTGGGATCCCCCCGGCAAAGATCCTGTATGTCACCCTGAGTACAGGAGGCATCGAGACTTTGGCTGCCATCTTCTCTGTAAGTCAACTGAGTGTTACTCCTTAGAATGCCACAGAGGGTTACACAGCACAATGGGAATGTTCGTAAGGTCCTTTAAGGCATGGGGTTTCCCCATCAGAATTCATCAATTAGGACAATGTAGGACAATGTGGTTTTCTATCACTCAGCAAACTCTTGGTTTTAAAGAAATAGCTGGGATGGGGATAATCCAGACATCATTTGTGTCCAGGCTATTGATCTGAAACCTCAAAGTGAATACTGAAGAGTGACAATTCTCACCCAGTCCCTGACACCTCACGGGACAGGGAACACTGCACTGTGGGAACCTCAGGCCACAAACAGGCATCCCTTTAAAGGAGCATGTCCTTTGTCATGCCCAAGGGGGCTAGATTTGAGGAGTTCATCATGCAGTTCTTCACTGACATTTTACCCATCTAGAGGATATTTCCTTTCTATATTTTGCTTCCCTGTCATCTTCCTTTTAATAAATAACTCCATCCTTTGAGTTCTCACCTAGTCACAAATGATGAAATATGAATGAATAAAATATGTGAAAGAGGGCCATATTGTCCCCAGGAGTTCGGATCAGAGAATTGATGTGAGTCTTTAATCTCTTGCCATGACATTTAAAATATTTCAAAACCATTAGCAGTCATCTCATTACCCCAGACATGTGGGAGTTTGCAAGGCTAAGGAGAAAGGACATTTCAGCGGACCAGTATAATAGAGAGGAAGACCTTAATAAAAAGCCAATATGTTCAAAAGAAGGCATAGAGCTCGTCACTGTTTCTCAACCTCCGATATGCAAAACAAACATTTGGTGGAGGGGAAAGTTGGGTGGCTTCAGAACCTAGAAGAAATTTCCACATCTTGGAATCAGATCAAACTGGATTTGAATCCTGGCTCTGGCACTTCTTGGCTGTGTAGCATTGAGCAGTGCACTCAACATCTCTGAGCTTCAGTTGCCCTCTTTATGAGATGCTTGTGTCTCTTCTTTCTTGTAGGTATGTCTGTGCCTCACATTTTAGGCACACAGGACACAGTTAGGCTCCCTTCCAAATGGAAAGAGAGAGCTAAAATTAGAGAGTTGTGTTCTCTGACCTTGATGGAGTAGTTTGTTTATTTTCACTCTTGCTCACTGATTTGCACTGACAAGATTGATGCCCATGCAAACAGGCAGAGGCTTGCAATTGTCTTTCTGACTTCTTGATGACAGGACACTTCATTCTGCACCTCACGCTTAACGGGTCCTTCTAACAAGATGCTTTTTAAAAACAGATATCATAAAAAATGTAAAGGAATGATGTTTTGTCTCTTTCCCTTTCCACTTCATGGCCTTTTTGTTAGAGGAAAACATTTCAACGTTTCACGTTCTAGAAGTTTCACAAGATTCATTCTCATTATTCTCAAGTTATAGACTGCATCTAGTTTTCTTTATTAATTTTTACTTTGAGCTGTGGAAAAAACACAGTCAGTCTGAGATGAAAATTATGGGGAAAGTACGCGAGATTTTTCGTTTTGTTTTTTGTAAAGTATTTTATTGGTATTGTAAAGAAATCAATACCAGTTCATTAGGGCAAATTTGCAAAATTCAGAAAAATAGAGAGGAACAAAGAAGAAACTACCTACAATCATACTACCCAAGGAACTTTGGCAAATTCTTCCCTTGTCTTTCTGTGCATAGATGTACATTTCTTACATAGTAGCACAGTAATCCTGTGCTCTAATCTGCTTTTGTTCACGTAATCTTATGTCAGAATGATTCTCCATTTTCTTATTTATTAAGTATTTTTTGTTGAAGTGTATCATAGATGCAGAAAATTATGCAGATCCTCACCTTCCCTGAATTAACACTAGTGTTGAAAGATTTATCCTTCTCCAGTAATTTTCTATATGATAATTTCCTTAACCATTGTCTGCGGGTGGGGTTGTTGAATGTCTCTGCTCAGAACCTGATGGCAGTGCCATGCTTTCTGGGTTCCAGTCCCGGCTCTGTGTCTTTTTATTAGCTGTGTGACCCCCATGTAAGTTATTCAGCAGCTGTGTGACTCAGTTTCCCCACTTCTAAAGGCCATCATCCCTGCCTTATAGGGATGGGCTGAGGATTGTACCAATGAATGTACATTAAGTGATTCCAGCAGTGGCTGGCAAATGGTATGCATTCTGTAGGTGGTAACTATTCTTGTCCTATTTAGGTAGATTTCCATAATTTGTGATTTTGAATAAGGCTACGATGGACATCCTTGTAGACAGCAGGATTTTACAGGGACTCTTGCTATCTTTTGACAGTTGAGGAAACCAAGACCCAAAGGAGTGACTTACTGTGGGTCACACAGTCAGCTGGCTCAGAACCCGAGGGAGTGGGGAAAGGGATCATCATGGGGCTCCTACTGCCCCCCAGTGAGACCCCAAAGTGTTCTACACGGGACCTCATGAGTGCTCACGTCATGCCTGAAAGTCCAGTGATTGCCCTTGTTTGAAAGAGGAGCACACGAGGAAGTGGCTACGCTTCTTCCCTTGGTCCAAGAAGACTTCTCAGGAAGCCATTCTTATTCGTTCCAGACTCCAGAAGCCACTCCTTCTTGTCCCCATGCTCTGGCAGGCAGATCATCTTCCTTAAAAGCTGACAATACTGGGCAAAGTATTCCTTGGAAAGACGAACCCCAGAAAGGAGAGTAAATGACTTCACAGTCCTGAAAGGGAAGGAGGATTCCTTTCTAAAATCAGGACTCAGAGCCGCAGCCTCTGGAGAGTGCTCCTGCCGCTGCCTTTAAGTGTGGACCTGGTGGATCTCAGTCATCTGGACCATGGCCAGTTGGTACCCTGCCATTTAGCAAGCTCTTGCCAACTCCTCCCGTGGTCAGACTGTTGACCCTGTGCTGGGCTTACAGAGGGCCTTTGCCGTGGTGCCTGCCTGTACGAGCTCACAGTCCAATGGAGGAGGTTGACTATGACCCAAGGATAAATGATGTTTTGCTGTTGTAGAGGTGCAGGAACCTCTGTGTGGGAGGTTCCTCTGAGCAGGAAGTGATGCTTGGTGGATTCTTTCATGCAGGCATGCATTCATCCGTTCCACGGACACCTAAGGTGCACTCGTACTGTGCCAACTGTCACAGGTGAAGTTGCCATGATCTAGCTTTAGGATGAGGCTACTCTGAATTCAAATCCTGATCACCCATTTACCAGCTGAGTGGTCTTGGGAACATTGCCCAACACCTCTGAATTTATTTGCTCATCTCTAAAATGAACATAACCATTCCCACCTCTGGTGGGCAAAATAATGGCTCCCCAAGATGTCCACACCATGATTCCCAGAAGCTGAGAATATATTACCTTACACGGCACAAAGGAATGTTGCAGGTGGGACCATCTTGAGACAGAGAGTGAACCCTGGATTACCCAGGTGAGCCCAATATTACACAGGGTCCTTGTAAGTGAAAGGGGGAGGAAGGAGGGTCAGAGTCAGAGAAGGAGATGTGATGGTGGAAGCAGAGGCAGGAGTGACACCATTGCCAGCTTTGAAGGTGAGGAAGGAGTCACAAGCCCAGGAATGCAGATGTGCTCTAGAAGCTGCAGCAGGCCAGATTCTGCCCTGGAGCCTCCAGAAGGAACCAGCCCTGCAGACACCATCGTGTTTGCACTGCAAGATCTATTCTAGACTTCTGACTTCCAAAACTATAAGATAATCCACCTGGCTTGTTTTCAGCCACTGAGTCTGTGGTAACTCACTACAGCAGCAATGGGAAACTAATACAGCATCCAACAGAATTATGGAAAAAAATCCAAGGAGTGTGAAAGCCACTCCCCTGTTCCTCACAGGGAGTCAATATAAGGTAAATTCCATGCCCTTTCCAAAGGTTTTATGTATCTAAAAATGTCATATTTATATAGGTTGTATATTATATCGTATAATATACATAATATAATGTTTATATATTATATATTTGAAAACAATGAAATAAAAATATGTAGATATATTTTTATATATCATATATAAACATTTTTATATGATATATAAAATATGTGATATATAAAAGCATATGTGTATGTGTATATTATATATGAAATATAAATGATATATAAATATGTATCATATATAAATATATGTATATATTATATGTATATATTTACATATATACATTATATATTTACATATATACATATAAAATATTTAAAGATGTATTTAATATAATATAAATATATAATATAAATATATATAATATATATTTATATTATATAATACAATATAATAGAATAAAAATATATATACTATATAAACAGCATATATAAATAACATAAATATATGATACATAAATATGTGCTTATTACATATATAATTGTATATATAAATATATGTATTTATTACTTTGTTTTCAAATATACATAAATTTGTTTATTACATATATAATTGTATATATTAACTGTATTACTTTCTTTTCAAATACACATACTTGAAATATATTTGAAAACAAGGCAATAAATATATATTTATATATACAATTACATATGTAATGAACACACAAATATATACACATATATTTCATCCAGCCCTCTGAAGTGATTGCCTATCCAATTGCCTATTCATTCTCTTATGAGGTTTTGACAGTCTATTAAAATGGCTCAGGAGGCTAATAAAGTTGAGAAGGGAAAGACATCTTTGCTCATTTCATCTGCAATTAATTTTGGCTCAGGGCCTCAGTCATCAGCTTGGGCAACTGTAAATAATTGCCATCTTTCAGAAACAGCTGGTTTTCCAAATTGATTTGCCTGGCACAGTGTTAACTCTCTGAAGAGTGAACTTCCAGTGAGCATCATTCAGGCCGCGTGGGGCAGGGGCTTTGTGGGGGGAGGGCTCACTCTTGAGAAGCACAGACTCTGTGCTTTTACAAATCAGGGGGTCAGAATTCACACGAAGTCATTCTGATTCAGTGCAGTAAGTTTTCATAATTGGCAAGAATGGAATGTGCTCTTGAGTAGTAGTAAAAAAAATAAAATAAGAATCCTTATGGTTTCTGTTG